TATTTATAAGTAAATAAACGAAGCATATCTATGCATGACATAATAAAGTGTCCGACAACAGCAATGAATAAAACATTGTTTGATAAATGTTTGACTGGGCGCTTACACGTTGTAATAGTTGAACCCATCTGAAAACCCCTGACCGTTGTTTTGATTAAATGTCAAGTGTTACACAGATTGTTATACCTACAAAGCAATGGAATATCCCAACTACTCCTCATTCCTTGTGCCCACACATCAAAAGCATACCGCGTCCGGTGTTTTGATTAACTGTCATGTGAGAGTGTGTGTAACTTTATTGCGTCTACAACGGTCTTGGGGCGTCTAGCAAAGTGTCTGGGGATATTGCAAAGTCTCTCGGTAATTACCTACCGGGTGCGCGAGTTAGGTGTATGTAAATATCTTGCGCTCGCTGTAAATCATGCAATGTAAAAGCATATTGTTTGACATCTCCTGCAACTACAAGTCTAGAGTGGGCGTAACCACAAGATGGCACTAGAAAGTAGGAAAAAACCTATAGTTTATTCAAATCCCAAACTGCCAGTCAATTCACACACTTGTTTGCCAACTTGCTGGCCTAATACCGTCAAATAGAAGCCGCATCCCTAATAGAAGTCGCACACATTCGTTTTGAAAAATTGAGAAACAAAAAAAAACACAATTTATCATATGTGTGGTTGCTCTAATAGAAATGGCATCCCCTCTGTTGCATTGTACCATTTTAATAGAAGCCGCAGTTTCTAATACAGATTTTACAGTACTTATGGGAATTGCTATAAACGTATACATGCATGGACATGATCATATGATGTCATTTTGATGTTTATATAATTTTCATTTCCACTGTTTCACACATTCATTTGCATCAGCTTACCTTCTTTTTTTTAGCCTTCTCTTCTTGCAATTGCTTCTTTTTTTCTGCCTTTTCTTTAGCAATGGCTTCTTCCTCCATTTTGATGACCTTGAGCTTAGTGGCATGGTCCACCGTTTCACCCTCCACCTCTGCTATCTTAATCTTAGCTTCCTCAGTCTAAAAGAATTAGAACAGACAGTTCATCTTCATTAGTCATACAACTTGCTTATCAAAAATATCCCTACAGGGCACAAAACACTGCAGGACTTCATGAAGGCATCAAAAGCCATTGCCATGATGACTAATGAGTTTACTTTGGTGTTCATTGATATGAGTTCATTTAGTAAATTTTAGCCTTAAAAATGAGTGCCATCTGCACTACAAAGTTCAAGCCCTGACACTTGATTTTTAAGTTGTTTTTGAAAGAGAGAAACTTATTTGAGCAAGTTTCAGATTGTCTTACTGTGCAAGACAGGCATTTTACCTGGAATAGGTAAATGTAGAAATAGCCCGTCTCTGTGGACAAGTGAATACACTATTTTTTTCTTTTATTTAAATGTCGCTTTCCTGTGCATGTCTCAATGCTTGTAAATAAGCATATTTGAATACGAAAAGGTATTTGGCTGTTGGGGATGGATACTTTTATTCTCTAACTAGATCTAAACTTATAATTTTAATTTCAATATATAAACCAAGCAATGCATTAATGTTTATTCATTGTTGACTCACCATACTTTCAGGTAGTGTTGATATGGTTTCTTTGAGTTGCTCTTGAGCAGTCAGTGTTTCTGGCAAATACAGAGTTCTTGATAGCAATAGAAGAGACGTAGGGATCTGTTCATTCAAATGAAGATCCATCCACTGGAGAAAAGCAATAACAAACAGTCATATATATACTGGATTACAACTCATTGCTTGTTGACCAAGTTGTGTTCATTCTGTACCTGAAATCTAGCTATTATGCAACAAAGTATGTTCACCTGTTGTAGTTGAAACTTGAGCCTTTCGATAGGCACGCCAAGCGCCCTCATACCTCTTGCTTGGCATGCTGCCTGCAGCTCTGCAACTGTCAAGTTGTCAACACCTTCATTTTCAATCATCTAAAAAGACAAAATATATATTGTTGTTGTGAACATTCAAAAAATGAAAAATAGCATAGTGTACACATGCATACAACCAATTTAATAGTGGCACTTGAAGTGCTGAATGGCTTGTGTCGACTTTGATAGTAGTCGCATGTGAACACCCAAGCTAAATCATTCAGTCTATCAGAAATGGCTGTCAGGAATAGCAGCTATGGTCATCGCAGTGGTAAAGTAACAATCAGAAGTGGAAGAGATCCAGAATATTATTTTCCCAAGTTTGTTTAATTATCGATGGTCCAATGGAAAATTGGTCTAAAGGAACACACTTGATTTTATCAGGCAGGTTTGAGCACATCTTGAATCACATAGGGTGAATGGAGATGCCCTATGTAATCCACTCATTCAAATGTGCATTCAACGTTCAGTTTAAAGTTTTAGAATACATACCCTGTCATCAGCATGTAGTGATCTAAGTTTCATTCTCAACTGAAATCTCAGGAAATTATTTGTCCCATAAGGCTGCATCAGAAGTATCTTGCATAGCGCCACCAACTGAGCTCTTGAGAGACTGTCTAGAGTGAGTTCATCTTCAAAAAGTTTGGAAAAACGTATGATTTCATCATTTGTTGCTTGATGTCCAGCCGTTCTGATCTACAAGTATTAAAAGTGAAATCCATATTATAGTACAATAGATGAGTTTTATCAGACACTCAGAAATTATATAGCATTAATTAGACCACAAGCTGGAATTTTTCGTGCCAAAATGTTGGTGCAATACAATTCATGTCTATAGCGGCCACACAGGTTGTAAGGTGGCCAATATAAACAGGGTCACTGATTTATTAATGAATATTATTTGAACAGTAAATCAGTGTACATTTCTCAATTTGCTCACCCTAACTATCATGCTTACATTGTCTAAAACATTTGAATTCAATAATTTTATTTTAGTAAAATTCATTTAAACAAGATAAATTATTCTGGAATATAATCACAATAATATCCCTTTGTGTAAAAGATACAGTCTAATGTCTCAATGTCCATTGATTACTGTATGTAGTCTAAACTATAGGCTTACAACAATTGCTCGTCCAATTAATTAAACAAGTAAAATACCTTTTTTCTCGTAGTATTTTATTGTGTTGATCACATTAGTTGATCACATTTCATGGAATATTACTTTTTGTGGATTATGCTCCAAAATTGTTACCAGGGATTCTGACATTCGTAAGTTTACGACTCAATGTGAAAATATGGAATAATTATGCGAATTTATTTTGTAATGAGATGCATTCAAAAAGGTAATGTTTTGAAACAAGTAGAAACTGTGCCATAAATTAAATATTGTCTTGCAACATTTCATAACTTGTAAACAAAGCTAGTAGTACCGTAGTCATTTTATATTTGGCATCTTATGGAGATTCACAACAAGGGTCACAAATAATCCCCCTTCCCCTCACATGAGGTTTGTGGAAAGTGTGTTAAAATAGATAAGTAAAATTGATTTTGAAAACTTACTGATTCCATGAATGAGGCAAATTCTTGTGCGCTTTTAGTACTTTTGCCTTTCTTTTTTTGCACAGCTGATTCTTCAATAGTCTCCTGCAAAAACTTGGCCATTTCTAATTTCATCTTCAATTGCTTTGTAAGTTTCTTTCTCTGATGAAAAGAAGACAATTTGTAGAATAATTTAAATCAAATTCAAAGCCAGTTATTCATAACAAACTGGAAAACACAATAATACTGTATAAATAAAGAGAACTAAAAATGTCAGCTTCAGAGCAGATAGTGTTGTGTGGAATAATTAACTAATTTGATATGCAAACAAATCAAAACAATCAGTGTGAAAGTTGTGCTGTAACATGTTGACACCTTTTCTATTTTAAAAATAACATATTCACATTCATGATTTGTTTGTGATTGTGTTTTCTGAAGTACATTTGTATTTGTATTACTGTGAAATCTGTATTAGAAGCCGTGGCTTCTATTAAAATGGTACAATGCAACAGGGGGGATGTGGCTTCTATTAAAGCATCTACACATACGAGAAATTTTGAATTTTTGGTTCTCAATTATTCAAAAAGAATGGGTGCGGCTTCTATAAGGAATGTGGCTTCTAATACAGATTTTATAGTAGTGTAAATGTAACTGGCTGAAAATCATTGTGGTATTAGCCATTGTGGCTAGAACAATTAACAAAGTAAGGAAAATGTAGTTACAGAAAGGAGCAAAGTCAAAATCATACAATGTGGGTGGGATAAGAACCGTGCTTTCAAGATCACCGTTATTCTTATTCTCTTTGTTTCCTGGAGGTAAAGGGCCTTGGTCTGTCCTGGGTATTCCCTGAATGATGTACTAGCTTTAGATTGATAAACTGATAACAAAGCTGTCTCTCTTTTTTTGAATTCACTATGTATATACCAGGTAATATATGATACATGACACAAGGATTGTTAGAAATCTTACAAAGTTCTATGTATTTGGATATATATGCATGATGAATAGAGAAACCAATCATTTCTGATATCATAATAAAGAACCATTCACCATGTAAACATTGTACAAAGTTTTAAAAGTATATAAAAAAAAATATTCATTTCTATCTGTCAATTTACCGGTATATATTACTGTAAAATACTTCATTTTAGCTGGAATTCATTTTCGCTTTCAGTCCCTTTTTTGGTGTTTTGTCAGAATTTATTTTCATTGATTTTTAATGAGCTGAATGGATTTTATTTTTACAGAATCATCGCTTCAGCAAAAATAAAATATTTTACATTAGGTATGTTTCCAAAACACTAAAAGCTATAAAATTAATATAAATAATTGTTGTAATCAATGATCATGACATATGTACAGAGACTATGAGAACGCATTATATCTTTGACTGGGTTCATGTACCCCCCCCCCCCAAAGTGATGTGATGATGTCTACTCCTTATAATATTGTATTTGCTCTATTAGAAGAGCATATTGTTGTATACTGAATTATTGAAGTGGGAGAGCCGTCACCTGCACATGCGGCAGACGTCCATAGCGTGTCGTTGTTTACAAACAAGAGTCCACCCATAAACCTTTTCAGGGTTCGCTGTTATAGTGGCTTGGGACTCAATTCTCGCATAGGTGACGACCATTCCATTTTAAAGTGTAAATTACTTAAGGGTACGCGCAATTAATAGAGCTATTATGGTTGTCATCATAATGTCACTGCCAAGCATGTAAAACTTTATTACCAGTATATATATTTACCTTTTTTGTCTGGAATGGATGATATCAATTAAAAACAATAATAAGTAACTATAAAATTTCCTTCTTGACAACCACTGTTGCTATTCACACACTTGAACAAACACGTATGTGCACAACAAGTAAATGAAGAAAGCGACATAATTGCACTATACTCTGCATTGATACAAACTGAGTTGCTAATGCAATTTTTAGTTTATAAGTGTTACTAATGAAGCAAATACAGTATACAACTCACCTTAGAACTGTCATCTTGAAATGTACTTGGTAACATGCCAGGAAATAGCTTCAACGCCACTGGCAACAGAACCTCCATGAAAGGGATGATTACAAAAACCAGAAACGGCACCAGTCGAAATAGATCAGATACAGTACGAATAAGCTGTCAAGATGCAAACAATTGGTTGCTTCATTTGTGCGGTACATGGTTAAATGTCAAAAATCAATGAATTTCAAACTTAACGCATATATAGAAAGGGAGGGTAGGGGAGTGAGTAGAGGTAGAGTAAATCAATGAATTTCAAACTTAACGCATATATAGAAAGGGAGGGTATGGGGAGTGAGTGGAGGTAAAGTAAATCAAGGATTTTCAGGAATTTAATCACTTTTAGTTGTTGAATCTTAGCAAAACATTTAGAAATTGTAACAACTTGAAATCATTTGCATATTTAATGTTATAACAAAAAGTTTGCTAGTTCTATAGGTTGGCCTAACAATCAAATGAAAAACCAAAATGATCCATAAATTCACATACATGACAAAATACAGTCTGCATCACATTGGTATTTATTACATTTGAAGGCAATTGACAGCAACAAAAATGGTCACAAAATTAGACATTATTAATTAAATATCTGTATTATATTTTGGTACAACTAATATGGCTAATATCACAATAAATAGGAGAGTTACCACCGAGGGATTACACTGAGGTGGAAGTTTTGATTAAAATATGCTTTTTTTTTATTTTACTGTACAGCTTAATGACGTAAATGTAACATTACCTATGATGCAAATAAAACAATATTTTTATATATTCTCAAATGTGGTTTACCTATTTTAACTGATAAAGCACATGCAAACCATAAGAAAAACACATTCACTGATCTTATTTTTTCATCGAATTACCTCTGTTAGTGAAAAATATTCCACAGTATATAGTGATAGCTAATATTTACGATTGAATTGCCTAATCATTTACCTGTCTTCTTTCCCTCCGAGTTAGCGAGTCACGTCCTTGTGCAATCTGCCATAGCAACCTTATTGTAATTTTGATGTCCAAGCCTAGCAACCGAAATCCATGATAATAGTGTTTTACTTCATCTACAAACCGTTGCCATAACGACTTCTTTGGCAATGTAACAGTGGATTCCGGAACTTTGGGTTTAAGTTTCAAATTCTTAACAGTTTGTTCAACTTTGGATTCAGACTCCAATCCCTCTTTGGAAGTCCTTGATGATATGTGCAAAGTCCTATAAAAGGTAGGAGAACTTCCAAATATGGAATGATTCCCATAATGCACCTGTGTGAGTGTTCTTGAATTCAGAAATAGCGGCGGTGGGGTTGATTGTCCATGTCTATGTTGGTTTTCAAGTATAATACTTAGACTAGGAATATGGTGAACTGCAGAGAGTTTTCCATTTTGTTGTCGTATTGAATTTAATCTGACAGGAAAGGAAAAATAAAGACAGTAAGGTTAGGCACAATAGGTAACAATTTTTAACTTTAAAATTTATTGATGTAATTTCTGATATGTTTCTAGTTCTAAGAGTGCCTTTATTTTTTCAATTTTTCTTTTATATTTTTCAGTAATTTCGCAGGAAACAGAAAAAAGGTCGTGAGCGGCACCTTTTGAACAGACACATGTGTTGACCAGAAACAAATAACGTTTTTGTTTTACCTTATAATAGGGTCAATTATTAAACTATGAATATTCAACAAAAATGTTGGTGATATATTTTTAATTATGACTTATGTTAAAGTCATATATGATATAATCTTGTTTATGCGACCATAAAGATATTAGCAGTCATCATTACTACTGGTTGAATAAGTGAGTTATTTTACTGCTATCCCATAGTAGTCTGCTAACATTGGAAGTAAACCAAAATAAATTATACTGAATAAAAGGCACAGTTATACTATGTTAAATCAAAGTTAGTATGTACTACGCGAGTGATTCAAACCAACATTCGTATATAGGACCAAATCGCCAAGCTACATGTCACAGCACGTCTTTCCCCTCGGTCACTAGCTTTGTCATGTTGATTAAAGTGGATAGAATCCATGACCTCTGGATATAATAAGCTTGGGTATTAAAAATCCTGTTTTTTGGGGTGCCTGGTGACATACGCAAATGTGCATGTCACACAGTTTTTTTTTAGCTAAATTTTGGAAAGAATGGAAGACAGTTCTTAAGAAAGATCATATTTTAAAATAAAAAGCAGCCTGTGTGCATTGATTTAAAAAAGACAAATTGACCAGAAACATTTACCTTATTTTCGTGGCAGTACATGGCTTATTATGACTGTATTATTTAGGGTGGATGAGGAAAGAGTCAAGAAAACAAGTCAAACTGACTTTCCAGCAAAACAAATCTAGCCATATATAATAAATACCACATGTGAAAACAAAATTTCCCCCACCCCATATCTCCTTCTCCGCCTTTTCAATGACTCACACCAGGATGGGACTAGCACTAATTTGCATATTCCATAAATACCTCACCTAGTACGCTGGTACACTGTATAGTAGCTTGGATCAAGGTATGACCTTCTGTAAAACAATTCACCTACAGAATAAAAACAGAAGTCACTTTAGATAGCAAGCTTGTCCTCTTAAATAAAATAAATAAAAGGTCATATTAAATGCAATACTACTACACACATTATTAAACTACTAATATAACCATATTATTATGGGAAAGAGTTGCACTCAAACTGATGTTATTGTGAAGGAAAACGTTTTCTCAATCAATGAAAAATTGTAAAACAGAGACGTGTGGTATTTCTGACACACAACTTCGTCCAGTCAATAAGACTCGAACAATTGCAGCAAATGTGCACTTTTCTTTTTAAAAAGTGAAAAAGGAAGTGAGGTAATACCGGCTACAAGCTGTGATTGTTATTTTTTGCATTGTTAATAATTTAGCAACGAAAGGAACTTTGATATGCTCATGATATAATAATCTTGTGCTGACGTATGCTTGGCTGGTTATTTACATCGTACTGACGAATCCACAGTCTTGGACGGATGTGTTTAAAGGGCACGGCCACTGGTTGATATCTGATGACAGTGAATTAAAGAATACGGACATAAACACAGTCGAATCGATCATGGGAGGCACTGTATTGATTGCAAATGCTGCAGTCAGCTTTGGTGATCATGCAAAGATGCACGCCGGTGACATGCCGGTGACCTGTGACATCTTATCCAATTCAAGCAATTTAAACAGAAGCAATGGGACTTGTGGTTAGTTACCTGTGTAAACACACCTCCTTGACAAAATCTGATCCGCAGACCCCCGACAACGGACACAGCCACGTAAAATAACAGACATCCCTCAACACATACACCAACGAAGCCCCGACGACGGGAAATTTCCGTCCATGTACGCATGCTCAGTATCGTTCGAATGGAAGATTCCATTTAATTTGCATTGTGAGTCAGAAGCCGACAATGACAAGGAGAAAAAAGAACAAACATTTTGTTCGAAATAGAAGTTTTTGAAAATAAACAAATGCATCGAGTAACTCATTTTATTGCGTTGGCAATTCGTTTTGCCCACTTCCGTAAAGTTGGAACTGATATTTGTGACTAGGATTTACTCAAATCCCGGCATGTGATCCTGGCATGCATTAATCGTTGAGGGCGAAGTCCGAGGTGCCAACCACGTATCGAAACTTCATTGCTCGTGACAGCCCGTGATTTACACTAAACTACTAGTATTTCGGGTGACAGACAATTCCAGGAAAACGTTGAAAAAAGGACGGGCACACGCATAAATCCCCTAAAAACGCATTTGACCAAATGTCAGCACTGTATCCAGGTAACAGCGTTTTTGTTGGGAACAAAGACATCGAAATATTTATGAAACTTTTTATTAGGTTTCGTCATGGTGCGTCATGTAACAAATAACTCAAACTGACGAATGTTCGAATCAATAGTTGTCAGTCACAATTTTGTGACTGCGTCATGTAGAGTTTTTGGTCTAAAATCATTGACTGTATACCGGAAGTGTGTTTGAAATATGACTCAGGTATGAGTTGTTATCGAATTGCTATGATCTAAAAAATGTGGAGGTGGAAATGACAGAGTTATAGTTGTTAGAGTTAGAGTTGACTGTGTATAGTATAAATTTTCGGCTTATCTATTTTTTTTATTGTCTAAATCTAAAGCACGACATACTGAATGTATGTATTACTTTCTTGTTAGTAATTGAGATATGTACATGTAAACGATAATATTTCAACAACATACTAGTATGTCCGTTTCTCCCAAAGATATAACAACTCCAATCACAGACTATTTTCCGAAACACTGTGGGTTGGCGGAAACGACCTTTGTGTTACAAAATGTTTACAAATGCGGTATAATGTTAGAATGTTCATGTCTTGCATAATGCATGTAGCAACAAGATCGTCGTTCGAAATATTTCTTTCTCCGCAGCATTTTGTTGGAACATCATACCCTGAAATTTCAAGATTAGTATACATAATATTATTATAAACATGTGATATATATTTTGGCTATATTCTGTCAAACATTTTGTGGTTGGGTTCGGTTGGCCACATTCCAACTTGAGTAGGATTTCAGCGGAACTTGAACTTAAACTCTCACAAATCAATTGATAACATGAACTGCATTTATTTGCGAACGAAACTCTTCAACGAACTGATAAATACATAAACTTGTAGAACTGACCCACAGTTGAGCACGGACCAACAAACTGGAACACAACTACCGTTCAACTTTAAAAGTGAAATAGAACATTACGGCGTTTTCCACGCAGACGAGGATTAACCAATCAATGACTGCGTTCTGAATCAATAATGGAATGTCAGTCAACACCTATGGCTTATTATGGTTTCAACGATACATTTAAACGGACACTTGTTTCTCACATCTACGTCATTGTGATGTCACTGAGACGTTTCGTTTCGTTTCCACCGTGACCCCCTCACCTGGATATTCTCAAACAAAAAGACTCGTGTTCCCCATTGTAAAAAACCCAGGACAAGCGTGTTCTAGATGACGAACAACTATACAACAAAACGCAGTTGTCGAATTGAACTAAATTAATTTTACCTATATAAGT